TGCAATTTAGTGTGTATTTACTGGGATAAACATTAAAGCCACATATGAAACGCAGCAACACCATCTCATAAAGAAGAATGGTAAAAATGTGACTAACATGTGCTTCCCACACGTGAACACATGAAACTTTCACGCACAAATGAAGCGTGTCCTTCGTTCTTATTTAGTGTGGTTTTAGTGGGATAAACATTATAGCCACATACGGGACGCATCAACGCCATCCCTTAAAAGAGAGTGGTAAGCATATGGTTAGCATGCAAATGCCATACATGGCCCACATCTAAAAAAAGAAAAAATTCGAGATCCTGGCGTAAAACAAAAGTAACTATCAAATAAAATAATTTCGTTACTATAAAAAACTTCATTCAAAGTTTTTCATTTGAGATCAGACATGTAACCACTATAGATTTAAAAAGGAAAAAAAAAACAGACTTTTTTTTTAAAATTGTAAGCATATTTTATAATAACGAAGATTAAAAGCTCTCATGGTTGCACTGAAAAAATTCACACTACATCAATAACATTTATACAGCAGCCGTGGCGCAGTGGTTAGAGTTCTGGCTCAGAACCCAGAGGTCCGAGGTTCGACGCCAGCTCCAACCCAACATTCGACATTGGTACGGAAGGAGGCGTGAACCTCCCGTTAAATTCTCTCCCGCGGTGCTCTATGAGAAGACCGTAAGGACTTCTGGGAGCACCTAAATACATACAAAAAAAAATAATAATAACATACTCACACAAGATTCACACTACATCAACAACTTATAAAACCGACAACAAAGAATATTTAGAAGACGAATAAAAAGTGTTTCTTGAATTTTTTTTTTTTTAATATATAGAAAGGCTATACATGCTTTAAAAAGGTTCAGTGAAGAATGTTTAGTGTAGTTGCATCATATTTTAAACTTTCTCAAACATATATTTTATGTTTGAGAAAGTTTAGGAATAAAACAAATATACCGTAACACGGGGTTAATTTGGCCAGCGGGGTTACTTAAGCCATTTTTAAAAACTTTAATTAATCATCTGTAACTTTTAAACAGTAAAGTAACGTTTTACTATTTAAATAGTAAAACGTTACTTTACTGTTTAAAAGTTACAGATGTTTAATTAAAGTTTTTAAAAATGGCCAACTTACGGTAACTATGTCAACTGAGCACAATAAACCAAAAAACTTACAATTTGCAATTTTAGTTAAACTTTAAAAATCAGATGCAAAGCTAAAACATCAATTGCACAATGTAGCATATTTTTTTGTCAATTTAGTGTTATATTTCAATCGCTTTAGTGTAAATTCTGTGGAAAAAAAACTAAATTGAGCACAAGCTCAATTTTATGAGTTCAAAGAAAATTCGTTTTTATTTAAAAAGAAAAAATTTAAATTTTTGTTGATTTGATTTAGTAGGAAATATCAATTATTTATTAAATATGTAAAAAATGAAAAATCACTCAAAAAACATTAGTAACCTGTTAATATATTACTTCCATTGTGTTTTAGTTATCCTTTACTTGATAACAAAAATCCATAATTATCTCTCTTGATGATGAAAGTGCTCGCTTTACTTCTCCCATTTTAGCGTAATTCTTTTATGAAAATCTAAGTTTTCATCTTTTTGATTACATTGGAAGCCATAAAAAACTGCAACAAACTGTTCCAAACCTGTCTCTCCGTCCTATTGAGGAGCATGGTGAACCTGTCACTTGATCTGTGGTCCAAAAAAATATCAGATTTTATCTTATCTTCGGAAAACTTTTAAAAAAAAACGTAGAGGTAATTAAAATTTCTTGTATCTTACTTTTATGTACTTCATGAAGTCTATTTTAATTTGCAGAGGTGGCATAGCGGCTCCCAAGTCACATTGCTTTTATCCGCAAGAATTAACGTCATTATGACCTGTTTATTTCTGAGATAGTGCGCTTTAGCGTCACAGCTGTACCGGAGTCAAAGAAAACAAATAAATTTTTCTTTATATACGTAAACTAATATATATGGAAACATTGACCTTAGCGACTTTAAAAATAAACTACACATATCTAAATGATTGAGGTCTTACAACATAAAGGATAATTATGCAAGAAGTGTTCAACATACCTTTAAGATTTCTCTTGTATTATTTGCATATTAAATGCAGTGTCCAGAAATTGTTCTGATCTCCGACAGACATGTCCAAGTATTCTTTGGGGCTCACGCATTTTATGACTTACTTTCCAGACCTTTTTAATCTTGTTTATCTAAATTTTTCACACATATTGTAAAACACATTTGCAAATTGTAAACATCCTTTGATTCCATTTAAATTAAATAATTGCTTTTCAAATACGATTTGTTATTTCTTTATTCACAAAAGGTACAAATTAAGATATTATTTTGAGTCACTTGTGCTTTTATGCTGGTATATAGCTATTTCTGGACAGTTCAATAAGTTCTTAATGGTTTTGGAACTTTTTTAAAAATTCTGAAGGTTTGTTTAAAGTTTTACAATTTTTTAGAAAAATTTCAGACATTCTATCAGTTCAATCTATAATAATCTTCAGTATTCAATAGAAATCGAGAACTCTCTCAAAAACACACTAAATTCAAAATGTTGTTGTCCCGGTTAAAGAAGCAAATTTTGCGGAACAACAGCTACCCTTCGGGCTTTTGTTTTTGAAAGTTACGTTCTAAATGTCCTTTGAATGTTTTTTAAACGCCTTTTAAATGTTCTTTACGTAAGAATGTTTAAAAGACATTTAAAAGATATTTAAAATACATTTAAAACGTAACTTTTAAAAACAAATGCCCGAAGGGTAATTTGTGTTTGTTTTTGGCAAAACGGTTAAGGAAAGCACTTTTAACCCAAGAAAAAAACGAAAATAAAAACCACATAGTTTTTTAAATTAAAAACAATGTAGTTCTTGCTCATGAGCTTTACTTATGAGATGCATTGACCAGTTTCAAAACAGTCTCGAATAATTTCTGCATATGAATTGTAAAGCCGTAAATTTTCTCTAGTTTTTCGGCTAAAAATTTTTTAGCGTCTATAGGTTTCCTGGCTTTAGTTGATACAAACCCTCGAACACAGATACCAAATAAAATATGGAAAATTCATTCGTCACAAAAAAAAAACGATTTTTTTTATTATCACCGCTTTACTCCCACTTTTAAATTTTTTGTGTGGTTCCAAATATTTAATTGTATTTTTTTATATAGTAATCAATAGTGAAAAATATCATTTATGAAGAGGAGCACACCAGGCTTCTCATTTCTAACGATTTTGCGCTGCAGACGAAGCAGCGAATGGTCTAGGCAATTGAGTCATTTACAAGAGTTAATGACAGACGAAATTATAACATTTTGCAATAAGTCCTCAATAAGTGATAACTTGAATTGTGAAGAAATGTTCACGTACTGCGCAGTTGTTTTTTTTAGATTTTGACTTCCTACTCGCTTAGGGATCGTCCATAAATTACGCAACGCAAAATTTCACTAATCAACAAAACAAGAAAGATCAGAAGTTTTCTCTTGCAGAGTCTTAAGTTAAACAAAGAATCAAAATAGCTCATTAAGTTTAATAAAAATTGCCGAGTAAAGGAACTTAAGATCTTCAATTTTTTTTTTTTTAAATAAATTTAGCATTGCGTAATTTATGGACGATTCCTTATTGTGCCTGCGCAGTCCAAACCTTGATTGCGATACTTGCTTCAGCGTACGCTAAAGCCTATTTTTTTTATATTGTTCAATATTTTATATTGTAAAATTTGCTCTCCGCGTGTTTGCTTTTTTTCTTGATACGTTGCGTACCTTGAAGGGATAGCGGTGTCATTTTTAGAAAACGGTAACCATAAGTGTATGGCAAATTCTAAAAGAATGCAAATGCATATTAAGTAGAGAGTAAACCATAGTATAAAACCGCGACTCCGAAAAATGTTTTTAAGCCGGTAAATTGTTTGCGGTTAAGGCGACAGTTTCTATTTGAGCTCGAACGCTAAGGTTATCCAATGCAAATATTCTCAGATCTCGTTCTGCGTTGTTACTTCTAGTTGCCTACAAGTGTCATTAACATTCTCTATTGAGTCCTCATACTTAGGCATCATTGCATATCACACTTAGAAATATATTGCAAACCCAATATACATTACTTTACATTTATCAGTTTTAAAGTGCATGTGCCATCTATGCGAACAGTCAACCGCAGCGTTTATATCTGTATAAGTCTAGGCGTCGCAGACTCTTCAATGTTGCAAATAGTATTATAATTTTTTGCTTACGATTTTATAATTTTTTGAAGCTGCTTTAGTTAATTAAATAATACATTTAACTTTTAATTTTTATTATTTAATTTTATTTTTTGCACTCCTTTATTTCTATGTAAAATGAAACACATTAACAAAATCAGTTAAACCGACCAAACGGACAAAAGTATAAATACATAAATTTGTCATTTAGTTAGTGTAGTACACGAGCTATTTTTATATTTCAAAGTATTTGTAGTTATATGTGTATTATTGTAGTTTAATAATAGTTATATTATTCTTTATATATATATATATATATATATATATATATATATATATATATATATATATATATATATATATATATATATATATATATATATATATATATATATATATATATATATATATATATATATATATATATATATATATATATATATATATATATATAAATTAAAAGGCTTTAAATATATATAAGCTTATTAAGGTTTTGCGGCTATATAGAAAGTTCGTCAGCTAGCTAAAAGGGGGTTGAATATCTTACATAAATATTTAATTTTTTTTATTTTAAATTTTTTAGTTAAAATAAATAATAAATTAAAACATAAACTTTGTTATAAAAAGTTTTAAAATATTTTAAAATTTTATATAATAGTTTATTAAATAGCATTACAAAATGAAACAAATGTATTTATCACCAAGTGCATTTTCAGCCTTTGTACAAACTTCGTACTTACATTTAGACAATTTTTGATTTCGTGTGATTAAGTTTTAGTCCTAAGTACGAGTTATTTATGCGTGATTTTTAGTTGGGCAAAACATGTCCATTCTTTCTTTAAATTATCCACGTTGAGGCTCTGGGAACCGTGAAATTATAAGGTGAGAACGTTTGTCTTGGCTGAGGAGCTTGACAATGAGTTACTTTTAAATAGACGTTTTGATTTCCGAAATTAAACATAAATAGATTTTATAATTTTATGCAAGCTTTGTAATTTGTTTTATATTGTGAGTTACCATTATATATTCATATCCAAGCTATATTGATTTATTCTTCAAAAGTCATAAGTTTTTATGAATTTATAATTATTTATTAGGAAATAAAAAACCAATGTTTCTGGTTTATTTTAGTTAAAACCTTATTTAGTGGAATGATTCAAACTTTATGTTTTATTAATCTATATAGATAAATGTACATTCAAATCCATATAAAAATATTTTACATTGGTATATTTTCTTATCAACTATAGTTATCTGTATTTTTAAAATAAAAGCTATAAATGTATAATAATACTGTTTATTTACAAAGAAAATCAATATTTTAGTTGAACTAAAAATGTCTACGGCAGAGCTTGATGCTGATTTTGACACTGGTACGTCTGGAGCCTCTTTGACATACCCAATGCAATGTTCTGCTTTGAAGAAAGGTGGATTTGTCATGATTAAAGGTACAGAAAATACTTATTACGAATTATGCTACAGAAAATTTTTTTGAATGGTGGGCTATATATCAAAATAGTTATGTTAAGGAGGGTTGTGTTGATAAATTATTTTCATTTGATTTTTACGCTTATTTTTTTTATATTTATTTTTTAGTTTGTTTTATTGTTGATATTATTTGTTATGTGTTAGTGCAATATTTTGGTTTCTTATTTATCAGCCATTTTACCTGCAAAATATAATGAAAAAAATTAATAATGCTAATATTTTTAGAATCAAAATTTAGTATTTGTATGTTATTTAAGAGTATTAAATATGGAGTTTCAGCCCATTTAAAACTATAGGGCTTAAATGTTCACTATTTTCACCTGGGTTTCTCAAGCTTTAAAGATGTTTGAATAGAAGGTATCAAAAAAAACAAACCTTAATAAAAACAGCATTGCTGCTGAAATATTGCAGCTTTATTGTTTCATCTACATATTTTGACAGCATTGATTTGAAAACAAACTTGCTGAAAGAAATAACTGAAAGTAACCATTTTAAAACTTTAAACAAAGTAAGCTAGCAGAGCTTAAAACTCATACAATACTTATGGACAGAACAATATAAATATCAATTATAAAATGTTTAATGTCACATCTAACTTGTAAAGCATCTTTAACTGTAACAATTATTAACGTGCTGTGCTTTATCTAGCCCCTATCTTGTTTAAACTCAAATTTAAAGCTAAGAGAGAAGCACCATTAAGCAAATCAAATGGAATAGAAAAAATGTCCTACAAAAATCGATCTTTATTGATAAGAAAGAGATTGCTCCCAAATTTATGAATGCTTTACTGGAAATATGCGTCATCTTTAAAAAAATTTTTCCTGTGTTAGCTATTCTAACGCAGTTGTCAAATCAAATAAGGTCAGATTTTGTATGACAAATAGTTTTAAGTGCACTGGAATAAGAGTGTTTTGATGATATAATAATTTATAATATTTTTAATTTTTTGCTTTTAAATTATATGGTTTGAGTTTTACTTTTTATCTTTGTATCAACTGTAAACAAACTCATTGCCATTGATAATTCCAAATCTTCAAAAATTGCTGTAACAAAATTTGCAACTTTATCTAAATATTCTGTGTTATAATTTAAAAAATTTATAAACTATAGCTTTTTTAATGCTATATAAGTTGTTTTTAATTGTTGTTATTGTTTTTTCATTAAAACCTAAAATATCAAATATTTTTGAAATGTTCTAAAAAGAAAGTTTGATGTTTATTCTCATTTCTGTTTTATGGTAAGACCTTTGTATCAAATTTTTATATAAAGTATATTTATATATATTTTTATATATACAGTGACGTATCCAGAAACCTTTTGGGCATGCCGGTCATACTTCCACGGATGCATAAATGACTTTTTTTTTTCGTTTTAAAAAAATGACATAAAAATCAGTACATTAGTGGATCTTAAGTATCAATTGCCATAAAAAACATTAACAACACTATCAAAAATATTCAATCATAGCCTCTGTACTCTATAAAAAAAGAACTTATGTAATGTTATATAAGTATTTAAATACTTAGAACTGGAGTTTGGGATAAAAATAAGGGTGCCCATACTGATGTACCGATATCAAAATTGGCCTGGATATGTCAGATATATCTACTATAGCATATTTATATGCGCACGCGCTCTTTTTTTTTTTTGCATATCTAAATTGATATGGGAATGAAAAGGTTGCTGCCCCATCCCAAAACCCTTAAATTTAGGTTCAAAAAGGCTGGAATTATTGATATCTATTTAAACAAAAATAAATGACTAAATTTCAAAATAGCCAAAAAATTAGTTTTGTTAATTATGTCTTTATTATTGTGTCTCATTTTCAAGAATTAAACTGAAATTAAACACTTCTAACAAACTGTTTGTTATAATATTGTCCTTTTATGTTTAAAACTTGGACAACACTAGACAACTTTAAAACTGGCTCACCCTAGTAATTATATCAATCATTAACATCTATTTTTTATCCTAAGTTGTCAAATTATTTGACCTTATCAGAACCAATATATTTTGTTTCTTACATTTACTAACTTTTTTAATTATAAAGAGAAATTGTAATAATATCTTATGATCCATACAATATCAAAGCAATAAAACATGCAACCCGTGATCTTATACTTAGATCTTACTTCAGTAATTATTACTTGTATTTTTATTTACTCCAGATTAGTATCAATTATTATTAGCAAATACTCTTGATTTATAAACTTATCAGGAAATACTTATAAATATGTTTAAAATTTGTATGCATTTAATAATTATAATTAAAAGCTAAATTATCATTAAATTTGTAGGTTTTATAGAAAGGTTTGTAAAAATAAATACAAAAAATTCATAGCTGTACTTTGTTTAGATCGACCATGCAAGATAGTGGAAATGTCAACTTCTAAAACCGGCAAACATGGTCATGCTAAAGTGCACTTGGTTGCCTTGGATATTTTTACTCAGAAGAAATATGAGGATTTGTGTCCCTCAACTCATAACATGTCAGTTCCTGTTACAAACAGAAAAGATTTTCAGGTAATTAAAACTTTTAATGTTAATGTTTCTAACTCAGTAAAAGACTGAAATCTGTCATACAACTCTGTGTTACTATAGGTTGTGGACATTTCTGATGATGGTTATTTGAATTTAATGGATGATGATGGTACGACCAAAGAAGATCTTAAGGTTCCAGAAGGTGAAGTAGGTGATGATGTTCGAGCAAAATTTGAAGCTGGAGAAAGTTTTTTGGTTACTGTTTTAAGTGCTTGTAATGAGGAGATGGTTGTTGGTACTAAAGTTTTGACTGGCTAAATTCTATAACAGCAAAATTCCTATTAGGGTATTTAATTTTATTGCAAAATCAATAGCTAATTTTTATCAAATTTAATTTTTGCAATTAAATGTTATTTTAATAGATAAAGGAAATATTTTATTAGCTGATAATCTTCAATTTTTTATATAACTTATTAATTTAATTAAAAAAATTATAATAACTAATTAATTAAATTAAAATAAATTAATTTAAATAAAAAAATAATTTTTAATTACGATAGAGGTGCACTTTTTTTAGGTATCGAACACCAAGGATCGAAAAAGTCAAGTATTCAAAGCTGCAGTATAAATATATATATATAAAAAAAATGCTTCAATGTTTTCTAAGTATTTTAGTAACATTTTTTGACCTTTGGGTGATACTTGGAATAGGACGATGCAAAAAATATTTTAATTTTATGGGAGCTGTTTTAAGGTGTTACGCAGCAAATTATTTCGCCAATAGACTAGGTTTCCATTTACTTTCAGTTTCTATCTCATTTTAGGGAATCTTGCGTATTGTTTTTCTCATTCTTTTTTAATCCATTTAACTTTTTTAGTACTTTACGCTCATCGGTTTTTTTTATGTTTTTTCACAGAAACCTTGATAAACAAGTCTGCTTTTCGGACAAAGAAATCTAATGAATTTCAAGTTAAAATGTTATTAATCAAAAAAATTAAAATATATATACTTAAATAACTTAAAGTGAAAATTAGTTAAAAGTTGATTTTGATTTAACCGTTTCAAAAAAGAAAATCTCGATTTTAAGAACTGTTAATTATGATTTAAAACTCCATTAAATCTGAGTTATGTTAAATTTAGAATACGTGCCACATAAGACTTTGATTATTAATAAATATAGAATACGTGCCACATTAGATTTTGCGATTGAATTACCGAAATTTTATTTGTTTACGCAAAGTAACGTTGCTCTCAATTCTTGCGTGGAATTTATTACTTGCTTTTTTAAAATTTTTATTATCTCAGTGGTTATTTGCCAGTGTGTATGCACGGAATGGATACCTCTTTTAGCTGATAAAACCGCCCTATTCAAAAACTGTATTGTTGATCGTTACTTTGTAACCGAAATAAGTAATCTCAGCCGAGTGCTGTAGATAGTCTAGCAACTTAGATATTTTTTTGCTTAGTTATTACTGGGACATAGGTGATCAGTTTTTGCTTGGCTTTTTTAATCAAAGTCAAAACTACTAAAGTTAAATAGAAACTCTCGACTGTATATTCTACTATTCTATACTACTATTCTAGTATAATATACTGTATATTCTACCGCGCTGAAAGCGCGGTAGAATATACAGTATATTATACTAGATTCGCACTACTGTATATTCTACCGCGCTGAAAGCGCGGTAGAATATACAGTAGTGCGAATATACAGGTCTGGAGTCGGTATTGGCTAAAGACGAGGACTAATCTAATGACGCATTCTGATGTTATTAAGATAAAGGAACCATTTCATTTTACCTGTAAGATCAATGTCAAACCAACAAAATGCTATTTTGACAGTATTAAAGTATAAATGTGTTAAAACTGAGTAAATGAGTGGCTGTATATCAATTCAAACCCACTACTAAAACTAATTAAATAAACATATACTAAGTCAATATATATCAAAAAATTTATGTTTGTAACGTAATACTTCTTTCAAGTCGGTATTTTTAATAACTTTTTATAACCAAAAGAAATAAGAGTACTTAGGTAGCTATAAATTTCATACCTTAGAATAAAGAAATTTAAATTTTATTTAGTTGCCGCAAGATAAGTCCTTACGGTTTTATCAGAGAGCACCGCGGATGAGCACATAATTGGAAGTTCACACCTCCTTCCTATCCGATGTCGCAAAACTTGCCCAGAGTTGGGGTTTGAACTACGGATTCTTTGCGTCTAAGGCAAGTGCGCCACGGCTGCTCAATTTTAACTCTCCATAGCATATCGTGGTTTTAACCTGTATAACAAATTAGTTTCAAAAAATATCCTAATACCTCTTTTGAAAAATATAATCGCCTTAAAAATGAACTCAAAAAACTAGTCCGAGGCTCCCTTTAAAATTTGGCTCTCTTTTGGAATTTTTTCAAGCATTGGGAAGCAATGTTAAATGATGCAAAACGTTTATAAATGTGATCCATGACTCTGTTGTTGTTGAACCATCCAATGCACTAATTTTTGAATTTATTACAACAATACAGATGCACCATGATCTTAACGTTGTTAATTATCTGTTCAAAGCATTAAGAATTAGCTTAAAAGCACGGCGATTCCCGGTAGCACTCAAGAAGGCCAGTATTTAAAGATCAATTTACAGCAATCAATGTCGCAGCTTAAAAAAACAATGTAAATAAGAAATATTTTATTAACTCTAACAACAACCATTTGTAGGGCATTAAATAACTTTATGTTAGAATTTATTATTTTATTAAAGACTAACTAAAATATTTTGTTTTATGAGTATGAAAAAATGTCACTGTTGTAGAAAGGTTTTTGGAAATGAGACTGATTTTTTTGGATTTTTTTCTCCTATTGCAATAAACATAAAAACAAAAATCTGATTTTTCCTTGGACGTTAAACTTTAATTTTACCATTCTTGGAATGTATAATCATGAACTTAATCTGGAAACAATAATGGAAAGTAAAAAAAAAAAAAAATTGTCGGCCTCAAAAATTTAATTCCTGAAACGGATCTTCAATCTCTAAAATGTGCAGTTGAGTACTGGAACTTAAAAGAGCAGAGAACTATCTTCAAGGACATTCTTGAAAAACATATTCCAAGATGATCGCGTTGAAACAAAAAAATTAAAAAAAAATTACCAAGATTTTTTATATTTATCTTGTATGAAACTCTTAATTTACCTTACTTGTATAGTGGGTGTTTAATAAATCTAAAATAAAAATAAAATAAAAAAAGTATGTATTTCTACTCTGTATTGGTGGTTTTCCTTGGATTGTGAACTAAAAGCCGTCTTTTGTGTTAGCTGACCCCTCAGCATTTTTAGAGAACTAACCTCTTGGCCTAGGAGATAGTGTAATGAAACTTAACAACCGTTTTTTATGTATTGGTTCCTTTTTTTTTTTGTTGACTCGATTAAAGCATCAATTGCAATTGCAATCACAATCACAATTGCAATGTATAAAAAATCAAATTAATAATGCTTAGCTCTAAAACAATTTTTGAGGACATTTGTTTTATGCTCAAGACCAATTTAAAAATAATTTTTAAGAATGAATGGTTCTTAAGGTGATATTAAAACTTACCAATGCACAGTGGTTCAGTACCATGTCATAAGTACAAAAACATAGTTTGTTTTATAATAAAAACAATTTAAAAATTGAATTATATATAGTATGTGAAAACCAGATTTTTAAGGTTTGTTATTAGAAAAAAAAAATTGTTTAAGGAGGGTTTGAAGTTCAAAAATTGACACAAAATTACATTTTATCGGGCAAAAATCAGTCTGCAAACTTTTATACATTCTCACTCCTACCAATGTCATAAACATACCAATTTTTTAAAATATTTTTATAAAATATGGAGGATCAATATAAAATAATTTAAAATGTAAAATTTCATAAAAAAGACACAATTTACCGCATGTTTAACACTTTTTTCTTTAAAATTGTTTGAAAATAAAACATTGAACAATCAGGAAAATTTTCGCCCAGATTTGCCCAGCTTGAAATTTTTTGCGTTTGAAATTTTTTGCGTTTGAAGGTATTCATAATTCTGTTAAAATAAGTTAAATGGAAGTTTTATTATGCTATGTGTTCTGCACAGGTATGATTCAATCGAACAATGTATCAACTTATTCAATCGAACAATGTATCAAACATTCTGGTGACTTTTTATAGTCACCAGAATTATAATAAAAAGTTGAAAATTAATATGAAATACGTGTAACATGTTTATTATTCGTTTTGAAATTTGTCCTAGGTTTTGTGTTATTGGCCTGTCCTTCAGAGGTATATAAAGCAACATTACAATAACAGCTATTTTTGGTCAGAGTATAATGAACATTCAATAATAATTTTAGCGTATTATCTTCAAAATTAGTGAAGATATGATTTTTGCCTCAAAAGTGGCATTTCTGGACCACTGTGCAATGGTTTAATTATAAAACCTTCACAGATTTTGGCTAATAAATATAAAGTACTACCCTTGCTGCCTCGGATCTTAAGGTATTCTGTCAGGAATATCGTGTACTCAGATAGAAGTTCATGTGCACTAAAATAATTTTTGTTGTGTTTTGAATAAATCTGCTGATTTTGAATAAATCTGCTGATTTGTCACGGAAAAAAGAAAAATGTAAATTCAAAGAATGTTTGCAGATGATACAAATTTATTTTACTCTTTAAAAAGCATCTATGATCTTTATAAAAATGCAAACAAAGAACTTAAAGAACTAAATATATGGTTTAAAGCTAATAAATTGTCACTAAACACTGAAAAAATAAAGTACACCGTTTTTCATTCAAAACAACTCAGAAACACATTACCAGCAACTTTACCCTTGCTAAAGTAGAAAATCTAATGATTGAACGAATTCAGAAAAAATTTTTTTCAGGAGTTGTAATTGATGGAAATATATCTTGGAAAGCTCACATAAATAAGGGCTTCATGATAAGATCCTCATGATCTTCTAGAAGTCCTGCCGCTAAATTTGTAATATGTTAAAATTTGTATTATTAATAAAATTATTTGGCAAAAAAAAAAATAATAATAAAAAAAAAAAAAATAAATGCATTAAATACTAAAATATCAAAAACATAGGTTTACTTTATAAAGCAAGGCCTATGCTGTCGCGAAGTAATTTAAAACTTATATGCTTTTCTTTTATACACAACTACCTATCATATGCTAATATAGCTTGGGCGAGTACGCATATAACCAAATTAAAATTAATATACCAACGTCAAAAACACGCCTTAAGACTAATTTACCAAATGACAAATTTACAAACATTGAACCCCTCTTTAAAAAAAATGAAGGTGCTTGATATTTATCAAAATAACAAGTATCAAAATTTATTATTCATGCTAAAATTTAAATTAGTTCAAGTACCATATCATTTTGTATATAATTTTTTTAAATAAAACGTTAAGAAATATAACACGAGAGAAGCTAAAAATTATACCAATCAAAAAAATTAAACTCTCCCAATTCTCTATTTCATATCGAGGCTCCTATTTATACAACAAACTAAAAATAAATCAACTTGTTATCTAGATTATCGAAATTCCTTGAAAATAAAGTTAAAAAATCTGTTCCTGAATTTAAAAAATTTCTCAGAACTTTTCTAACAGACTGGAAATTAAATTAAATACTCATCAACCAAAAAA